CAAGATGCCAAGAATCTTCTTGTGCATAATTACATATATATCAAGAAACCAAGTGATAAATGCCAGTCAAGAGACTGATAAGGTGGCACGGGAGGCTAGAGGAGTGAAAGACTGCATATCAAGGAGCGACTCAAGGCTGTACCTAGAGTGTCCCTCTTACAAAGTATTTATATATTTATCTATTATCATTTGATACCTTACCTCAGGTATAATGGAACTAGTTTGAGTTTTGGAACTGTATGAAATGGAAACTAGACATGTAAGGGGTGGTTGTCTTGTAGATTCTTGTGTCACAAGAGAAAATTGGAACCTTCTCTAAGGTTGAATAGCATGCAGTCATCACTGATTACTGGCAAAACAATGATTGATAGTAAATATATTCTTCCATCTGTGGTACTCCAGACTTTTGTATTAAACAAACCAGTACAACTAAAATAGATAAACTAAAATGTCAAACACAAAGAGGATTACCAACATTTTTATTTTATTACCTAAATGTATAATTTTTTGAACCTGCAATTACTGTTGCTGTATCTTTTAAAATAATATTTTGAAGGCAAAACAGGAAGAACAAAGTCCATGTAAATAAAATTAAGTTGTTCTTTCCTATGTCCTTAGATACATTTCATATTCATCACAATATGGATTATCAGAATATTTACAGTGTATGTCCAGCATAATCTGATTTAAACTATAGGCTGATTGTAACAGGTGAATGTCATGTTGGGAAACCTAGATAGCATCCCAAAGCAATAGACACCCTTCCACCAGAACAGCTAAAACTGAGTCTCAGAGAGACACCCTCATAATGGAAGACAGTGATAAAAGCAATACATATTGAGATTGCCACGTCTCTGTTCCAAACACAGGAAACTGGTGGCTTCAAACATGACCTGTAGATTGAAGCCAGAAGGTCAGATGTTCTCCATTACAGGCTTAATTACAATCTTGCTCCTTCAGACTGCTTCAAACTGAGTTGTAGAAGCATTTTATCTATTTAATGATAGTTAATGTTTTTTAATATAAAGGAGAATGACTTCTCTCAGAATAAAGAACAACTTTTATTAAAGGACGAAGTTTAGGATTTTAAAATCCTACTAGTTTGACTTTAGTTTTTTTCACTATGTTGAGAACCCATGAAAAACTTCTATAACACTCAAACTGGTCCTTGGAGGGAAGTGGGCAATCACTGAACTTTTTAGAAACACAGGTGTCTGTAACCCACCCCTCAGAGATTCTGATTCCAGTAGTCTTGAAACATGTCTGTTGCTTCTGACTTTTTTTTAGTGTTCTCCCAATAATCTCCCATGCTCCCAGGATTAAGAACCATGGATCTAGAGCTGGCAGGACATTATTCCCCTTCTGTCATTATTTTCCTCCAGAAACTGTTAACTATTTAAAGCTATGTTTTAGATCAGTGCACATGGATGCTTCCTTTCACAAGCAGCTTGGATATTTAGTGCCAACCATCTTGGGCTTGAAGACTGTGCTACAAAATAAATTCAGTAAAGCTTCTTTCCTGTTTGACTGTTTACTGAGGCAAAAGAGACAGGTGTGTGGGGCCATGGGAGAGCCACTTCCAACCATATAGGAGAAGATGTCTCACTACTGTCTTCCAAGTTAAAATATGTCCTAAATGGCTAATGGCCATCCTCCCTTCAAAGCTGACTGCTTGAAAATATATATATATATATATATTTTTTTTTTTGAGACGGAGTTTCGCTCTTGTGACCCAGGCTGGAGTGCAATGGCGCGATCTCGGCTCACCGCAACCTCCGCCTCCTGGGTTCAGGCAATTCTCCTGCCTCAGCCTCCCGAGTAGCTGGGATTACAGGCACACGCCACCATGCCCAGCTAATTTTTTGTATCTTTAGTAGAGACGGGGTCTCACCATGTTGACCAAGATGGTCTCGATCTCTTGACCTCATGATCCACCCGCCTCGGCCTCCCAAAGTGCTGGGATTACAGGCGTGAGCCACCGCGCCCATCCTTGAAAAGATTTAAAAGGCAGCCAAAGCACAATGTTTGCAGTAATTTCGAGCTTCCCATTTGAAAACCAGAGATCAATGGCTGCAGTGTGAATTTGCTGAAAGAATAACAAAAAGCAAGCCAAACATCTGGTCTATTTTTCAGAAGTCATAAAATGGAAACATCATTTATCAGAAAATATGATAGAGCTTGGCAGGTAAAGAGAGTAAAATAATCTGAAAGAGAGAAAATAGAATAGAAAAAAAAACAGGAAACTTTGGCAATTGATAATCAAGATGACATAAAATACCAATAAAGCCACCACTTATTGAGTCCCTATGATATATCCAGTATTTGTATTTATTTATCAAAATTATTCATAAATGCCTAATATGTGTGAGGCACTTTTCCTGGGTGTAGAAATGCAGCAAGAAACAAGGAAAACAAAGTACCTGACTTCATAGAGCATATATTCCAATGGGGAAAATTTCTAATTATTTCCAATTCTTATGACAGAGCTGCAAAGTAGGAATTGGTAACCCCAATTTTATAGAAACTTAAGACTAAAGAAATTAGTTAAATTAAAGAAAGTTAATTAAAACTGTAATCCATAATTGACTGCTAACTTACTGAATAAGGGCACAATTTAGAAGAGCTATTATTTCTGAATTTAGTCAAACATTATTTCTTTGTATTGTAAATGTAAAAGGGATACAGGACAGTTGCTTCCTCAAATATAGGAGACTGAGCATGAAAAGACCTTAGACTTGAGTTTTCTTTTGCCCATTATTTCACATTCTGATCTTGAGGGGGTCATTTTCCTTTTCCAAGTCTTGGTTTTATATTTCTAAAGTGAGACAGTTGGACTAAATTAGTAGATCTGAAAGCACAGTAATCAGGTGGGTAACATTAGCCCCACTGGGGAATTTAGTAGAAATGCAAATTATCAAGGCATATTCCACATGGATTGATTGAATTGAAACTCTGGTGTGGAACCCAGAGTTTAAAAGGCCCTCCAGGTGATTGTGATATGCACTAACCTGGGAAACACTGAATTAAATAATGTAATACAAGATTACAAATTTAAGAACAAATAGACATGGAGTTGATCCAAGCTTCACAACTCACTAGCAAGTCACCGAACCAACCTGAACCTCTACTTCCTGAGCCATTTTTTTTCATTTGGTCTGTAATGAATGGGAAAACTTGTATAAAATACACAAATAATGGGTTGGCATTTAGGTAAGTATCATCATTGTAATTTCCGTCATCTAAAACACATTAACATCTGCATTCTAAGTTACCTTCATAACTGAATATAACATTAAGAATACTGACGGCCACACGCGGTGGCTCACGCCTGTAATTCCAGCACTTTGGGAGGCCGAGGCAGGCGGATCATGAGGTCAGACGATGGAGACCATCCTGGCCAACATGGTGAAACCCCGTGTCTACTAAAAAAAATACAAATATTAGCTGGGTGTGGTGGCATCTGCCTGTAATCTCAGCTACTTGGGAGGCTCAGGAATGAGAATCGCTTGAACCCAGGAGGTGGAGGTTGCAGTGAGCCAAGATTGTGCCACTGCAATCCAGCCTGGTGACAGAGTAACACTGTCTCAAAAACAAAAAAAAAAAAAAAGAAAGAAAACAAAAGAAAAAAGAATACTTACTAGTCAAAAACAATTCCCAGATAATTAAAACATACTTCCCTTTCAACCTCAAATACATATTAAAATTGGCAGATGGCAGCATCAAATGGTTCTGATACAAGAAGTAGTAAGCCTTATCACAAGCAGATGCTGCATTTAGCATCCAGGGCATCAGCAAACCACGTCCCTCTGTACAAAATCAGCTTACTCCAATCATGAAATCTGTTGGCTGGCCAGTTTGCTGTCTAGTTGAAAGTACACTTCGATGCACATACGAACATGTACTGGGCTAGTGATAATAAAGTAATTGAACAAAAGGAGGTAGAGCATCAATTCATAAGCACATAGAAAACATGGAAGCCTGAAGGAAGGATAAGGCCCTTTGAAGCACATGTAGATGTGGCACTCCCCACTACCGTTTCTTTTCATCCCCATCACTCTGCAGGCAACAAGATCAAAGGAATAGTCCAGGTCCCTTATGAAACATGTTAAACCATTAGAAAACAGGAAGAAAGTGAGATAAACGGTGCTCCGCCAGCCATGAATAATAGAAAGATAGGTTTAATGTGTTATAAATTCACCTGCCCCCCAATAAAGAAGTCAAGTTTCAATTTAAATTCAGAAAAAAAGCAAATTCCCAAGGAATTTTATTTTTGCCTTGGAGAATTTGCTTTTTTTCTGAATGTAAACTGAATTTAAGTCTAATTACAGTAGTTTGCCTTATTACAGTAGCTTGAAACTACTAAAACTTTTAGAGATGATACACTGCAGGGGTGAACACCTCAGTGAGGCAGCCAGGGATCTGTCTCAACTCAACTATTTACAAGCTGCATGATCTTGGACAAGTTTCTTAATCTTTCTAAGCCACATTTTTCTCATAAGTAAAATTGGGAAAATACCAGTCTTTACCACAAAAGGTTTATTTGAGGATTAAAGGTTATAGTCCTTAGCATAAGTTCTGATGTACTATACTCAGTAAGTGATATATGTATTTTTCAAAAATCCTGAATCACTATGAGTGTTAAGACCTGGATGGCTTTTCTTAAAGCAATTTTAGAAGGCTCTCTCTTTAAAACCTGCAACCAGTGCATTTCTGTCTGTTCTGACACTAAATTTAGATGAAAACCATCTGTATCAGAGCTCTATGGGTTGCAAGTGAAACTGACTCAAATTGAAATGTGAGTTTACTATCTCACAAGACTCAGAAATCCAGAGGTAGATTGTGACATCAGGCATGAATGGCTTCAGAATTCAAACAATATCTTAGGGCTTGAATTCTGAATGTTATCATTCAAAAAATATGTTTTTATTATGTATTGAAAGATAATCATTTTACAGTATGTATTTATGTGGTACAAAGTGATGTTATGATTTTTGCTTTACCTCAGCTTCTGAGAAGTGGCAAGATGTCTGTAATAACTTTCCATCTCCTCATCATTCCCACTTGCATCAGGAAGAAAGACCAGACCCTCTTTACTGGTGGTTCTATTAGTTCTGTGATTTACTCTGATTGGATCTGCTTTGGCCAGCTTGAACCAATCATGGCATGCAATACTAACCTGATGTGCTGATTGGCTTAGACCTAAATCACATGATCTACTCTGGAGGTGGGTTGGGGGTGCTACACAAAGCCATGGACAGAGAGAGGAGGAAGGAGGAATGCCCACTAGAAAAATTTTGGTTGTTGACAGCTGAAAGCAATAAGTAGCCACTCTATCCCTTTATTTCGCCTTTGACTTTTTTTTTCTTTTCAGTAAGTCCTTTTGTTATCTATGTGTAGTCCCTGACTTCAATTAGTTACTGATTTCCAGATCAGTTTTTTATAAAACTCGGCTTATGGACAACTTATATCAATATTTCCCATAGGGCCTATTAAAATGAAAATTTCTAGTCCTCCCTTCAATGTCTAATCCCTAAGGGTTAGGCTAAGTAGTCTGTATGTTTAACAAGTTCCCCAGGTGATTCTCAGTAATACTAGAGTTTGGAAACCGTTGAACCAGGTAATTATTAAAGATAATTTATTCCATAATAAACCATTGAGTTAATTTATTAAATATCACTGTCACTTCCTAATGCACATCTATAGAACAGATATTATAATAATCTATGACCTCATCCATCTCAAACAGTTCTTTAAGAAACAATAATATTGTTATATGTAAAATTGTATTTGGTTCTTTAGAAATAGCAATAAAATAAGTTTTATTAATTGGACATTTGAGTGGTATCACTTTAGTAATCTCTTAGAGAGGTAATATGTGTGATTCTTTAAAAAAAGTGACATTAGGTAAATTGATAAACCTCTCTGGGTTTGAGTTTACTCGTTTATAAAGAGAGAAAAACCTGTTTAGGGTTTTAATGAGAATTAACATAATCCATTTAACTTGCTTCATACATTGGCCCATAGTAATTGCTCAAATAACAGTTACTCCTGCTAGGCACTTAATATATATTATCTCACTTAATTCTCATAAAATTCTGGTAGGAAGTTATTATAGAACCTATTTTGCAAAGTCGAGACCTGAGTTTCAGGAAAGTTAATTCACTTGTTCAAGGTCATAGAGTTAGTGCGACAATCATGTCAAAATATAATTGAAATTCACAAGTGTTTAGTGTATATATGTTACTATCCACTGATAAGTCATGATTTCTTTTTTCAATTTTTATTTATTTATTATTTTATTTTATTTTATTTATTGCATTTTAGGTTTTGGGGTACATGTGCAGAACATGCAAGACAGTTGCTTAGGTACACACACAGCAGTTTGTTTTGCTGCCTTCCTCCCCTTTACCCACATTTGGAATTTCTCCCGAGGCTATCCCTCCCCAGCTCCCTGCTCCTCCCCTGTCCCTCCCCTATTCCCCCCAATAGACCCCAATGTTTAGTACTCACTTCCCTGTGTCCATATGTTCTCATTTTTCATCACCCACCTATGAGTAAGAATATGTGGTATTTCATTTTCTGTTCTTGTGTCAGTTTGCTGAGAATGATGTTCTCCAGATTCATCCATGTCCCTACAAATGACACGAACCCATCATCTCTGATTGCTGCATAATATTCCATGGTGTATATGTGCCACATTTTCCCAATCCAGTCTATGATCAATGAGCATTTCGGTTGATTCCAGGTCTTTGCTATTGTAAACAGTGCTGCAATGAACATTCGTGTGCATGTGTCCTTATAGTAGAACGATTTATTGTCCTTTGGATATATACCCAGTAATGGGATTGCTGGGTCAAATGGAATTTCTATTTCTAAGGCCTTGAAGGTTCACCACACTGTCTTCCACAATGGTTGAACTAATTTACACTCCCACCAACAGTGTAAAAGTGTTCCTATTTCTCCACATCCTCTCCAGCATCTGTTGTCTCCAGATTTTTTAATGATCGCCATTCTAACTGGCGTGAGATGGTATCTCAATGTGGTTTTGATTTGCATCTCTCTAAGGACCAGTGTTGATGAGCATTTTTTCATATGCTTGTTGGCCTCATGTATGTCTTCTTTTGTAAAGTGTCTGTTCATATCCTTTGCCCATTTTTGAATGGGCTTGTTTCTTTTGTTCCTGTAAATCTGTTTGAGTTCTTTGTAAATTCTCGATATCAGCCCTTTGTCAGATGGATAAACTGCAAACATTTTTTCCCATTCTGTTGGTTGCTGATTCACTCTAGTGACTGTTTCTTTTGCTGTGCAGAAGCTGTGGAGTTTCATTAGGTCCCATTTGTCTATTTTGGCTTTTGTTGCCACTGCTTTTGGTGTTTTGGTCATGAAGTCCTTGCCTACTCCTATGTCCTGGATAGTTTTGCCTAGATTTTCATCTAGGGTTTTTATGGTGCCAGGTCTGATGTTTAAGTCTTTAATCCATCTGGAGTTAATTTTAGTGTAAGGTGTCAGGAAAGGGTCCAGTTTCTGCTTTCTGCACATGGCTAGCCAGTTTTCCCAACACCGTTTATTAAACAGGGAATCCTTTCCCCATTGCTGGTTTTTGTCAGGTTTATCAAAGATTGTATAGTTGTAGATATGTTGTGTTGCCTCCAGTACCTCTGTTTTGGTCCATTGGTCTATATCTCTGTTTTGGTACCAGTACCATGCTGTTTTGATTACTGTAGCCTTGTAGTATAGTTTGAAATTCGGTAATGTGATGCCCCCGCTGTGTTCTTTTTGCTTAAAATTGACTTGGTTATGCGGGCTTTCTTTTGGTTCCATATGAAGTTCATGGTGGTTTTTTCCAGTTCTGTGAAGAAAGTCAATGGTAGCTTGATGGGGATAGCATTGATTCTGTAAATTACTTTGGACAGTATAGCCATTTTCACGATATTAATTCTTCCTAACCATGAACATGGAATGTTTCTCCATCTGTTTGTGTCCTCTCTGATTTCGTTGAGCAGTAGTTTGAAGAGGTCCCTTACATTCCTTGTGAGTTGTATTCCTAGGTATTTTATTCTCTTTGTAGCAATTGTGAATGGCAGTTCATTCTTGATTTGGCTCTCTTTAAGTCTATTATTGGTGTATAGGAATGCTTGTGGGTTTTGCACATTGATTTTATATCCTTAGACTTTGCTGAAGTTGTCTATCAGTTTCAGGAGTTTTTGGGCTGAGATGATGGGGTCTTCTAGATATACAATCATGTTGTCTGCAAATAGAGACAATTTGGCTTCCACCTTTCCTATTTGAATACTCTTAATTTCTTTTTCTTGCCTGATTGCTCTGGCTAGAACTTCCAGTACTATATTGAATAGGAGTGGTGAAAGAGGGCATCCTTGTCTAGTGCCAGATTTATGCTTCCAGTTTTTGCCCATTCAGTATGATATTGGCTGTTGGTTTGTCATAAATAGCTTTTATTACTTTGAGATACGTTCCATTGATACCGAGTTTATTAAGGGTTTTTACCATAAAGGGCTGTTGAATTTTGTCAAATGCCTTCTCTGCATCAATTGAGATAATCATGTGGTTTTTGTTTTTGGTTCTGTTTATGTGGCGAATTACGTTTATAGACTTCCATATGTTGAATCAGCCTTGAATCCCCGGGATGAATTCTACTTGATCATGATGGATAAGTTTTTTGATGTACTGTTGCAATTGGCTTGCCAGTATTTTATTGAAGATTTTTGCATCTATGTTCATCATGGATATTGGCCTGAAGTTTTCTTTTTTTGTTGGGTCTTTGCCGTGTTTTGGTAACAGGATGATATTGGTCTCGTAAAATGATTTGGGAAGGATTCCCTCTTTTTGGATTATTTGGAATAGTTTCAGAAGGAATGGTACCAGCTCCTCTTTGTGTTTCTGGTAGAATTCGGCTGTGAACCCATCTGGACCTGGGTTTTTTTGTGTGTGTGGTAGGCTCTTAATTGCTGCCTTGACTTCAGACCTTGTTATTGGTCTATTCATAGTTTCAGCTTCCTCCTGGTTTAGGTTTGGGAGGACACAGGAGTCCAGGAATTTATCCATTTCTTCCAGGTTTACTATTTTATGTGCATAGAGTTGTTTGTAATATTCTCTGATGATGGTTTGAATTTCTGTGGAATCTGTGGTGATTTCCCCTTTATCATTTTTTATTGCATCTATTTGGTTGTTCTCTCTTTTCTTTTTTATCAGTCTGGCTAGTGGTCTGTCTATTTTGTTGATCTTTTCAAAAAACCAGCTCTTGGATTTATTGATTTCTTGAAGAGATTTTCGTGTCTCTATCTCCTTCAGTTCAGCTCTGATCTTAGTTATTTCTTGTCTTCTGCTAGGTTTTGAGTTATTTCGATCTTGCTCCTCTAGCTCTTTCAATTTTGACAATAGGGTGTTAATTTTGCATCTCTCTACTCTTCTCATATGGGCACTTATTGCTATATATTTTCCTCTAGAGACTGCTTTAAATGTGTCCCAGAGATTCTGGCATGTTGTGTCTTTGTTCTCGTTGGTTTCAAAGAACTTCTTTATTTCTGCCTTCATTTCATTGTTTATGCAGTCAACATTCAAGAGCCAGTTGTTCAGTTTCCATGAAGCTGTGTGGTTCTTGGTTAGTTTCTGAATGATTTCACTATGGTCTGAGAGACTGTTTGTTATGATTTCAGTTGTTTTGCATTTGCTGAGCAGTGCTTTCCTTCCAATTATGTGGTCAATTTTAGAGTAGGTGTGATGTGGTGCTGAGAAGAATGTATATTCTGTGGATTTGGGGTGGAGAGTTCTGTAAATGTCTATCAGGTTTGCTCGTTCCAGGTCTTAGTTCAAGCCCTGGATAACCTTTTTAATTTTCTGTCTGTTTGATCTGTCTAATATTGACAGTGGAGTGTTAAAGTCTCCCACTATTATTGTGTGGGAGTCTAAGTCTCTTTGTAAATCATTAAGAACTTGCCTTATATATCTGGGTGCTCCTGTATTGGGTCCATATATATTTAGCATCTTTAGCTCTTCTTGTTGTATCAATCCTTTTACCATTATGTAATGACCTTCTTTGTCTCTTTTG